TCAAAGATCTTGTGTCCTTCGCCCGATTGAACTGGCCCGATGCTGCAAATGAGTTTGGGCACAGCTTGAAGGTGATCGAGGGGACACACAAGAAGGTCAGTGCGGTGTCTCGCAAGTCGACGGCGAACCAGAATCTACGATCTGGGTTCTTTCCCGTTGACCAGGCCGAGCATAAAGCCAAGAAGGGCAAAGGCAAAGGAAAAGCTCCAGCCTCTGGTTGCTTCGTGTGCGGGGGGCCGCACTACAAGATCGACTGCCCCACCTATCACGAGCAACGCCTCCAGCAGCGGACCCAATCCCGCAAGGGGAAGGGCAAGGGCAAATCTGATCGCCCGCGCCCATGGGCGCCAGCCGCACACCAGTGGCGAATGGCGCCGAAGCCCTCGGAGGGAAAGGGTGCAGCCGGAAGCTCTTCTGATGCTGTGGTCGGGCCGCCGGAGCGCACCATTGCACAGGACATTGCAATGAAGGGCGCAGCCAAGGCCAAAGGCAAGGGCAAGAGCGATAGTCAGCCGAAGGGCAAAGGCAAATATGAGCCGCAGAAGGGGCAGTATAAGTCCGAGCCATACAAGGGGCAGGGCAAAGAGAAGGGCAAGGAGAAGGGCAAAGGTAAGCCTGCCCAGGAGCGGGTTTACTATGGCGAGCGAGAGTGGTCCGGATCTTGGAGCTTTTCGTGGAAGTGGACTGCCTCCCGGGGATGGTACTGGGAGTGGGACCCATAGATCCATTACGGCCACTAGTGTGTGTCTTCCATGCTAGCGGGAACGTTAGCCGGAACGCTTTCTTTCTCATGTTGGCATGCGAAGTATTGGAGTTTCAAGTTCGTTACGCTAACGGGAACGTTAGCCGTCCATCATCTTTTGGGCTAACTGTTTCAACGGCGTTGCGAACCGGAAGGTTTGCCGTGTCCATTTTGGCTGGCATGCCTTATGCAATCATCTTGTCTATAGTAATTCACGGTTCAAGTCACCTATGGCATCTTGTTTGGAGTGGTATTGCTCCCGTGATGCTAGGTGGAAACCTAAGCCGTGTATTTTGTCTTTTGCAGCATCCCGCTACGAGCGCAAAAAGACACTTGCAACTTTCTCCACTACAACCACGCATTCGTAGGTCGTGCATATTGTACATAGCATTGCAGCCTGTCCTAAGGCCTATGGTGGCTGCTGTCTGCCTCTTCGGTGCTGCCAGTGAACTGGCGGCGCCGCGGGGGGTATTTTTCACAGCTATTGTACATACATTGCCCCTACTACGCGTACCTCTGGCTCAAGGAAAAAGGTGTATCTTTTAGGCTGTTTCCTATTTGAAATAAGATGAAGCAGTAAACCAGTGGGTCAACACATGTCAAAGTCCAAGTGACCAGTCCCGAAAATGAACATCTGTGGACACCGTCCAGGAAACCGCCAAAGCCCTTTTTGGTGCTCCGGGGCAGCAAGTGTTTGTGACGGGTGCTTCCAGCAACCTGGCACCAACAGAGAGGCAGAACTTGATTGGACTTGACTTATCGGCTCATTGAACGTACATTTCTATACATGTTTTGAGTTATAATGAGACTTGCAACATGGATAAATGGGACTTCTTTGTCCATTGTAACATGCTTTTCTTGCTCCTTTGCATCATGATTACGATCGTTTAGATAATATATATGTGAAACCTTCTCCGTTTCTTTCTTTGCCTCCGGCCACACCTCTGCCCAAGGCAAAGTTGGAACCGCTGTGGTCTTGAGCTTGCTTCAGCATGGCTTCCGGGTGGTGGCGCACTCCAGTGACTCCCATCGATCCCAAAAACTGCTGGCCAAATGCCACACTCACTTCGACAGTGACAGGACGGAGAAGCTGTGTGTGACCACCTCGCTGGTAGAGGGAGTGCATGTAAACTTGTGGGTCGTGGGGAAGAGCGACCCAAAGGTGTTGCACTATGTGCCACACAAGGCCAAGGCAGTGGTCTTTAGTGTGCCGAATCCCTTCGATGTGGGCACACGCAACGACGTGCAGGTGGTGCCGGGTGGGATGCTGCACTTGGATTTGACCCGGTTGTCGAAGCCAAGGCAGTTTGCGAATTTGTTGGAGGACCACGAGCCTTGGCAAAGAGGCTTTGGTATGGTTTTGCCATGAAGTTTGAGCAAGGGTGAAGCCAAGTTCTGAGAAGAACCAGCATAGCAGCATAACCATACGGCTTAATTATGTATATATATATACACGATCTTTCAGGAAATCTATGCTTGCCACGCAGCTGGAATCCTGGCCGCTGCAAATCCACATTGGCCGGATGAGCTGGGTGATGTACGCGTAGAAGACATGTCGGTGCAGTGGAAGGCGCGGCGAGGCTCTGCACCCGTCACACGGAGATCGAGGTCACTCTGACAGACGCCCAGCTTGTGTCACATCTATCCATCCCATCTATCCATCTCCATCTCCCATCTATCCAGCCCATGTCTACAGCTACAGATCCCATCTCCGTCCATGTTTTCTTTCTTCCTATCTGTGCCGTGTCCTCGGACGCGAGGCGACGGGACCTCGCTGGTATGTACAAATGACGCGTGCATGACGCATTTTAAGCTTCATCCATCTCCCTCATATTTTCAACACCGTACAGTCTGACTCACTCACATTGAAGTGGATGGCATGGCCCCGAAAGGAAGACGACTTTCCTCTACGAACGGGTGAACTCACTCCATGTGAACTTGTTCGTGTCACCATGCCGCGGCTTCGTGTCAGTCAGGAACCCGCCCTGGGTCGACCAGAAAAGCCCCCCCCCCACCGCGGAGAACCTCCGCATGGCTTTCGTGAGGCCGCGGAGCAGATGGGCTTCTCGCTGCCTGAGATCCCTACCGAGAGGTCGGAGACAGGTGAGCGTGGTGAGCAGCGCACCTTGGCAGAACGAATGGACACTTCGATTTTTGGGGTCGTGGATGCTGCTTTTCTTTGCACACCTTCCCTGGCTTTGCCAGCATGTTTCATGCTAATGGTGGTTCCTCCACCTTCATTGTCCGTTCTAACCTTTCCTCCGTCTTAGCTTCGATTTTTCCAAAAGCGTTTCAACTTCCTCCAAATCCCACCACCCCCATCCACCCCCAGGTCCGTACCGGACCATCGTTGTGGGCGGCGGCCCGGCGGGCCTGGCGACCGCTGCCATGTTGGTCGAAAGGGGCGAAGAGGTCGTGGTGCTCGAGCGACGCGAAAGCATCCAGGGTGGCTGGCGCCAACACTTTGAAGGTGCCAACACTTTCGCCGTGCCGCGGCGCACGCGCCGTGCCGCGGAACGGGCCGTGCCGTGACGAACGAAGCACCGAACGGGCGAAGAAAGCAAAAAGACCCGTGTCTTTTTCCGGGGGACGGAACCAAAAGATGAGACGATCGAATTACTTTTTTTTTACGTGACAAAAATGATATTTGTCAAAGAAAAACATGTTTTGTTTGGTCTTGGTACAATGAGTTCATTTCAAAAAATGACTCAACTTTGCACAAACATGTTTGAAGGACTCACCATCACCACCCGCGCTGCCACCTGCGGTTTGCCCGGCTTCCCTGTGAAGCTGGTCTTTGGCGCCGATGAGCTGAAAGGGAGCGAGTACGTGGAATACCTGGCGGCCTATGCTGGACGCTTTGCACTGGATGTGAGATGTAATATGGAGGTGGTCGAGATTCAGGAGGCAGATGGAGAATGGAAGATTTCTGTGAGGCAGATGGAGAATGGATCCCCATCCACCTTGACATGTGATGAGCTGGTGGTGGCGACGGGGAAAAATGCCGTTCCACACATGCCCAGTTGCTACACCCGGGCTGATTTGCAGGGGGCCCAGATCATCCATTCCTCCCAATTGCAAGGACATCGCTTTCAGGAAGCTGTCTCTGCCGCAGCAGCAGATCGGCTCCTGGTGGTCGGCTTTGGCAATTCAGCAGCTGACATTTGCAGCTCGCTCCTGCGTCAGTGCACCTCTGGCAGTGTACATGTGTCAATGCGGCGACGGCCCCCCATCGTAAGAAGACAGTGGGGATTCTTGCGATTGGAATGGTTCGCCAGACTCTTCTCCAATGTCTGTGACAAGAACGGCGATCGCTTCACAAATTGGTTGATGTACATGATTGAGGGTGACGTTGAGAGTCTGTTTCCTGATCTTGACACTTGGGGTGCCCGCCAAGAACGGCATATTCCCACCGTCGATCGTGATGGCTCTCTCTTGAGGCACGTGCGCGAGCGGCGCATCATACCTCATCCAGGCCTTGAATCGATCCTTCTTTCCTGCGACGAAACCGGCAGTGAAACCGCCGGCGATGCGGCGATTGGTCCTCGTCCTCGTCCGGTGCAGGTGAAGTTCTTTGGTGAATCAGCTCCACACACCTTCGATGTCGTCCTCCTTTGCACGGGCTATACTTCAAGCTTGGAAGCCTCAGAAAACCGTCACACGTTCTCCAGTCACGCGGTGCTGGGCCGGGCGCATTTCGTCGGTTTGGGTCCGGAACCCAAAGATCTTCTGCCCTTGGCGGGGATCGGCCGTGAAGCTCAAAGCGTCGCCCAACAGATCTGTCAGCTGCTGCAGCTGAAACGACGAAGAGTCGCTCAAAGAGCTGAGAAAGGGAGGAAAAGTCCAGATACGACCAAGGTGAAGGAATCGTAATCGTTCTTTTTCCGAAGACGACTCGGGTCCAATCTGGATCTAAGATGTCAGTTGGAATTATTTTAAGATTTGAACTGTGATGGTCTTCTAGGCCAGGATTCAGGGAAGAATTGGTTTCAGATAGCTTACATCGTATCTCTTGTCTCATGTTATCTCATTTTGCTTAGTGTATATAGTCACACTGGGCCTCGTAGACTGGGGCCCAGTGAAGTTTTCAGCTTCAGCCGCCAAGCTCCTTCACATTTTTGCAATCCATACCCAAGGCGCGTTCTCTGCTTCAAAAGGAGCTGTGTTTTTTTTTTGTTTTTTCGCCCCTTCGGTTCGTCCCAGAGAGGTCGCCTCCTGCCAGGAGGTCGTCGCTCGTCGTGGTTCAAACCGGCGCTAGGACCAGTCCTCTGACCTCACTGGGCGCTGTGAACTGAGCGACGGCCTGAACGTCCCGTGACGAAAACGCAAAGGAGTCGGGTCAGGGCACAGAGCTTTTTGGGACGGAATTGCTGGTTTGCTGGTAGTCATGCTAGTCTGTAACGAAGATGAAGGAAGTGTTGTCTCCTTTGATTCCACTCAACGCGAGAATTGGCCACAAGGAAGTAGAACAACTTCAACAGATTATCCCGAAAACTGCAGCCAGAAACCCCGCTTGGAACGCACCACAATCGACCCAGAGCTCCAGGATTGCCCGGCTGGGGCCTCTCTGGGGCTTGCCATTCAGGCGCAGAGGAATGTGGGTGGAGAATGGCTCTCTGATTGTGCTGGTGTAGTTGTTCCACCCTTTCAGGTGAAGACAGGTCCTGTGTCAGATGTGTTCAGAGTCTTTGCACATGCTATGCTCAAGCATTGACTGATGGACTCATCAGTTTTCATTGTTCGCGTAGAACACCAGAGAATGCACAGATCGAGTTGCACAGATCGGTGTTTGATTCCATCAACAGACTTTTTCGAGAGCTGACGCATTTGCCATCGACGTAAAAGACTATCCAAGAATCAGTGAATAGCTATAGGTGTCATGGCGTGGCAAAGGTATCGCGCTTGGGACATTGCCTTTTGCAGCTTTGGAAACGTGGTTTCTACTGGGCAGCAGAGGCACTTAGAGTCAGAGGATGCATTGCAACTATGTCAGGGAGATACGCCACTGGAAATGTCCGAGAAAATCGGAGACAGTTGGCGGAGAAGGTCCGAGACAGAGAAGCTGGTCTTCGTGACGAGTGCTTGGGAAATCCACAAACACTTGCTGCTGGGTGGTCCTTTAAACGAATGTCTTTTTCTTTTGTTCGCAAAAAAAGAGAAGACGGTGATCCCATGTGATGAAAAATCGTTCTGTCTCAGGTTGATACGAGCCGGAATCTTTCATGCGCTGGAAATAGGAATGGGTTTTGTTGCGCCTCGCATGATCAAGCCCTTGATCGACAACTTAGACTCGGCACCTTCCACTAGCCTGGTGTATGCTGCAGGGGTGGCATTGGGGCCGATCATCGTCAGTTTGTCCAACTCCCAATTCGATATGACCAGCAACCGCATTGGATATCGCTGCACGGGAGGCTACACTTGCTTCGTCTTCAACAAGATTCTGCGGCTGTCACAAACATCTTTGGCATCCTATGGCCAAGGGAAATTGGTAAACATTATGCAAGTTGATACGCAAAGGGTCTCCCGGGCTTTCTTTTTCTTCTTTTACTTGTGGTCTATGCCTTTGATGCTCATTGGCACCCTGATTCTGCTCTTCGACATGCTTGGATGGGCTTGTTTAATGCCCATCTTCGTGATGTTTTGCACGTACAAATTCAACTCACTCTTAACGACCCGGCTGATGACACTGGGTGCGGGCCTGAATCGATGCCGGGACCATCGCGTGAAGCTCTTCACCGAAGTGCTCCACGCGCTGCGTTTGTGTGACCCGGCGGGTGACGGGAGCCGGGGCGTGGGCGGCGTGGGCCTTTGGTTGAGCAAAACCATGGATTGGTTAACGTGGCGTTTGGATTGGTTAACATGCATGGTTTGAATCATGTAAAGCTGTAAAGTTTTTGGACACATCATTGTGAGTCTATAGTTTAGGGTATCATTTTTGGACCTGCACCGCTTCCTATGCATGATTTGATAGATAGACGGATGTGTTGAATTCATTTGCTGATTGCTCCGCTTTTCCCCTTCATCGACAGGTAAGATGCTTGCTTGGGAGCATCAATTGGCAGACATGATCGACGTTAAACGTCGAGAAGAGATGAAGTTGCTGAACAATTTCAAGTCTTGGCAGACGGTTCTGAGCCTTTTGTTTGGTGGCTCAGCGACGGCGATTGTGCAGCTAGCCACTTTCAGTGCTTACATCCTCCTTGGTGGACAGCTTACCGCTGGAATTGTCTTCTCATCTTTGGCAATCTTTGATATGCTGCAGTTACCCATGAGTTTGTTGCCCATCACTGTGCAGTATTTGGCACAAACCTATGTCTCCGTGTTGCGCATTGAGAAACTCTTGCGAGCAGAAGAAGTGGATCACCGTGCACCCGAGGTCAGTTTCATTCGAGCCCGACCGGTGAATGTGGGCGGCAAGGCAGTGTTGGCACCGGTCCGAATTCAAAATGCGCAATTCCTTTGGCCCAGAACCGGTGAAGAGGACTCGGATGAGGAGCTTCCGCAAGCACCGCAAGCCTCTTCGACGGGTCAGCGTCGTCGATGCTGTGAACGCTTCCGCAGACGGCAACAGTCTGAAGCGTTGCTGGAATCTCCAGATCAATTGATGAATACGATCATTCCTCAACGCGCACCACAGCTCTCAATCAAGGCCTTCCAACTCCTTCATGGCAAATTTGTCTTAGTGACAGGGCCAGTGGGTTCAGGTAAGAGCACGCTTCTGTCATCCATCTTGGGAGAAGTGCCACAACTGGCGGGTGCTTTGGAGCTGCTTGGTTCAGTGGCCTATTGCGCTCAAATACCCTGGATCCTGCAGGGCACCGTTCAACACAACATCACCTTCGGCGACGTCTATGACGCTGAACGCTTTTCCCAAGTGGTGGACGCTTGCTCTTTGGCTCCTGACTTGAGGCAGCTTTCGAATGGCGCAGACACGGTCATCGGCGAGAGAGGCGCCTTGAAAAGCAGGGCGGGCGGGCTTGGGCGGGCTTAGGCATCGGTGCATTCGAGGCGTAGCGGGTGGTCACATATATATATATAACCAGGTTGTGACCTCTATTTTGGACCACCAACCACCCAAAATAAGGTCTTTTCCTGGCAAGACAGAGGTCAATCAGGTTCCAGGTATATATGCATCATATTGCCCTTGGAGTCCAGTCGACTAAATTACTTTGACTCGGAAGCTTCCCCAGTAACTGGGAACGAACACTTCAATGAATGTGGCGAAATATCGTCGAACTGGACTTCCAGGGTATATACATCCAATAGTACCAATTGAAAAAAGACGCAGTATCTTATTCTGCGGACATCCCTTTCCATGTTCCATTGTTTCGTTGCCATGCTGGCCATGCTTCGCGGTTTGGAAGGAACGAGACAATCAATTCTGCATGCACAGTTCATGTCCAGTTCGATGCCGTCGTTTTTGTCTGCAGAAAGCACTGCAGGTATCACCCTTTCGGGCGGACAGAAAGCACGCATCAGCCTAGCTCGTGCGGCCTACAGTCAAGCTTCGGTCTATTTGCTGGACGATCCACTGTCCGCGGTGGACGCACATGTGGCGGCACACCTGGTGAGCAAGTGCCTGGGGCCGCAGGGCTACCTTTCCAAGCAGAGTCGCATCCTCGTGAGCCACCAAACACAATTCGCCTCCGAAGCCGATCTGGTCTTGATCATGCGCAACGGCGAGATCGTCGCCGCGGGACCCGCGGCGGACTTCTCCAAGGAGGAGCTGCAATCGGCCACGGTCTCGGAGAAGTCCACGGATTGGACCTCCAGGTCCACGTCGACCGCGACCGCGCCCCGAGCGGGACCGGTGGGCCTGTCTCGGGCGGTGTCGGCGCATGGCGGTCCCAAGACGGAAGCGCTGGAGCTGCGGCGGGCCATCAGCGAACCGAGCGAAGAGGTGGACGGTGTGGCGAAGGAGGAGGACGAGGAGAGAAAGGATGCGGAAGTGGATGGCGAAGAGGAGATGTTTTGTAGCAACATGCGAGTCATGAGCATGCAAGGTGTTGAAGTTCAATTTGTTATTATTATATATTGTTTTGTATACTTCTTTGGTGCAAAATCCGCGGTTATCACCGGAGCATACCAGAGCAACAAACCAACACCTCAAAGCGACTAGCCTTCTACACACTCTTGGATTTGGTGGCCTCAAGAAACTGTCGAGACCTCAAACCTTCTCCTAAAAAGCTGTTCAGTCCACGGTCATTTTGGATCGCAGGAGAGCACCCCTACGCCCGGTGCCGTGATCCAGGAAATCGAGGAACGTGCAGAAGATATGGAAGAGGGCCACTTGAGTTTGCGAGTATGGTGCACTTTCATGCGCGCCATGGGGTGTGGTGCATTCTGGGTGATCGTCTTGAACTTGATCTCCACCGTTGGATATTTGGTCTCGGCACTTTGGCTAGGACATTGGCCTGAACTTCAAGCTCAGATGGGCACGGGCGATGCTCTGGCCGTCTATGCAGTGATCGCCTTTTCGATTTTGTTCTTCACCTTGCTACGGATTCTGATGTTTCAATGGAGTTCCCTCGCGTTGGCCATTTCAATGCACCAAAAAGCACTGTGGGCAGTTTTGCGCTCACCGATGAGTTGGCTGGACACTACACCTGGGGGTCGAATCATCAATCGATTCTCCTCGGATATGTCCAAGATCGATCTAGATTTACAGGGATCCATGCAGAACTTGCTCAGAGCTGTTTGTAACCTGGTGATTTGCATGATTTTTGGGTGATTTTGCCCCATGGATCCTATGGGTGAATCCCAAACCTGGGTGAAGATTTATATATTTGATCGGTTCCTGGACAACAAATCGAAGGTGATCTCTTTGCCAGCATCATGGTGGCAGGTGCCGTGTTGCCCCTCATCTTCTTGATTTTCGTACCCATTTTGCTTGCATATCATTGGATTCAGAAGGTCTACCGCAAAGCAGGACGAGAGATTCAACGCTTGGCTAGCAAAGCCCGAAGCCCGATCTACCAAGGGGTGGACGAGGCGATCGTGGGCGTGACCACCATCCGTGCCTACGACAAGCAGCAGTCTCTCAACGTGAATTGGGATGTGTTTTTTTCTCTTGGATCGTGGCAAACGGGTGAGTAGAACAAGGACCCCAAGGACGTGAGGGGCACCATAGGGGCACCATGGGGCACTCTTGTCCATCCAATCACTCGCCCAACATCGATTGTAGCGAAATAGCGTTGAACACCGGACGTATTGCCAGGTATTTCATGGATCAGAACGAACGGCGCGTGTCTCGAAGTCTACGTTTGGATTTCACTCAGATGGGTTGTCAGAAGTGGTTGGGCTTTCGCTTGAAGGCTTTGGGTTCGATCGTTTCAATGCTGGTGGCCTTGCTGGTGGTGCTGCACCGCTCTTTAGGCCCCTTGGGTCGTGCCATTAGCGGGCCGGCAGCCGGCTTGGCTTTGCGCTATGCACAGCAGCTGAGTAATGCCATGGAAGGTTCCTAGGTGCGGACGGAGACGAGACGAGTCGCGAGTCGCGGTGTGGGGGGGGAGGGCCTTTTGGTTTTTCTTGAACATGTGTAACATGAGACATGTTTAAGCGGTTGGAACACTTGGGGAGACGAAAGGCAGACCGCTGGACCGGTTTCATTCCGTTCATTCCTTGGGGTTCATTGGGTTGGGGGTCTCCTGAAGATACAAGGCCATGGTGGTAGACGTGGTAGAGTTCATGCAGAGAGTTTACACCTGCAGAGAACAGTCATGAAAGACATGGGGTTTACTTGAACCTCGTAAGATTCTGAGGAGAAACTCTAGCCATTATACACCCTTCACAACAAAGTCGTCCTCAACATCTGAGTCAGCAAGGCAACTTGTGTGATCATGTTGGCCACTTTCCCCACCTTTCACCGACTCCCCCCTGTGATTCTGGTCAATCTCACAAGGTATCTTGAACAATCTCACGATGGCAGAGCAGTGCTTGGTAGCCGTGGAGCGACTCAATACCTACATGGAGATGGAAGATGAAGGTTCACTGGAGACGGATTTTGACTCATCCATCACTTCAGGCCTGGGCTCCGCACCTGCAGATGGTCAAAGCTCGACTCAAGGATTCGGATGGCTGGTGGATGGCAGCGTGCGCTTTGAGAATGTGGTCATGCGCTATCGAGAGGGAACACCCTTGGTTTTAAAAGGCTTATCCTTTGAGATTCCGGGTGGTTCCAGTCTTGGCATCGTCGGACGCACGGGCGCTGGCAAGAGCTCTTTGCTTCAAGTGCTCTTTCGCATGAGCCCCTTAGAGTCGGGTGCCGTGTACTTGGATGGTCATGACACCTCCAAGATGCCTGGTTTTGCGGATCTGGATGGTTTTTGTTTGGATCTTTTTGTTTTGAACCTGGTAGTTCACCCCTGGCATGGAGAAAAAACACATCATTAAAAAAAACGGGTTCCTTTCCTTTGGCCAAATCCTTCCGCAGGATGGGCTTACACACCTTACGGAAGTCCTTGGCCATCATTCCCCAGGACCCGGTGGGCTTCACGGGCACCGTCCGCTTCAACTTGGATCCCTTCGACCAGCATAGCGATCAAGCCATTTGGGAAGAGCTGGAGAAGGTGCAATTGAAGTCCTATTTTCAAGCGCAAGAAGGTCAACTTCAATTCCTGCTCGCGCAAGGCGGTGAGAACTTGTCGGTGGGTCAACGGCAACTCTTGTGTTGTGCCCGTGCTTTGATCCGTGGCACTCGGATCTTGGTCTTGGATGAAGCGACGGCCTCGGTGGATTTTACGACTGATGCATTGATCCAGAAGATTTTACAGAAAGAAGTGAAGACCAAGCACCTCACCACGCTCACCATCGCCCACCGCATTCAAACGGTGCTGGGCGGCGATCGCGTCCTCGTGGTGCAAGAGGGTCGGGCGGCGGAGTTTGGAGCGACCGAGGTCCTACGCCAGGATCCGCAGTCGATGTTCTACACCTTCGTCCAATCGGCCACTGCCAGTGGGCAGCTTTGAACCTGAGGAGTTGTGAGGATAGGAAAGACCGGACGGGACGTAGGTGTTGATGCCGGAGTTCTGTCCAATTGAGTGTGAATTCCTTTGAACCCGAATTCCTTTGATCAACGATTAGTTCTTTGGACCCTTTGGATGAGTTGCAGGTGAAGAACATCACCTGGACAGATGGGGAACAACTCCCATTGCAATAGTTTCAGAAGCAGTTCCTTGCAGTTCCGCGAGACAAAGAGGGTGCTGACCTTCGTGTCTGTCAGACTTGGATTCTGGATGAAATGCGACCTTCGTGACGGCACCGCCTGAGCCGTTCGGTCTTTCGACCGAAGTCCGCCCAGGCGGCGTGGAGTTCGAACCCGGGACGAGTGGAGGCTGGGTTTGGCCGACTTCGCGGGGTTTCCGTCGCGTTTTCAGCCGTGGAAGTACTCGGGGTCTTTTCCATTTCCATGGGTTTGATGACGCATTCTGAGTGCAATTATTGCACCACGGGAGATTGGAGTAATCCTGTCCACCTATTACAAAACACGGGTCCCCCATCCCTAATAAGGAAACCTCGGTCCCCTGAAATCGGGGTGGTCCAAAATAGGGTCACCTGGGAAGGGCTTCACAGAAAAAAAGTAACCCAGGAAACAACATATATAAAATCCTTTATTAAGCTCGTATCAAAAATTTATAAACCTCCAGATCGAAGGGTCTCTTCCTTTTCCCCTACAAAAACCTTTCTTAGAATAGTGATTCTTCATTAGACTAACAACTAAAGCTTTCGAAAGGTGATGTCGCTGTGCCATGCGGTTTTGCGTGGCCTCCGTGGAAAGTGTGTTTGTGTGAGTCCGTGCCATTGGGGAAGGAAAGCCTGCTGGTGTAAACACGGCGTGCCATGGTGGATAGACAGGGTGGACAGAGGTGGGCAGTTATGGTTGTTTTTGGAACATACTAAGCAAAAGCTCATCCAAAATCGGCCATGTTGGTAGTTTAGTAGCGGCTTGAAAGGGCGGTAGCTTAAAAGCGAAGAAAAACCATATTTAGGGGCTTCCGACATGACTTTTTTTAAATAGGGGTCCGTTTTTTCACTAGGCACTCGGGATTACGGATTCCTTATGACTTCTTTTTCACTTTGATCGTGTCGCCTTGCGGGATTCTTTTCAGGGTCGAGCCATTGCCACGAACCTGGGGACATCTCGAGAGTTCAAAGGAGAGAGACCGGACCCATGACATGCTTTGTTCAAAGAGTGGAAAGCGTGCCGAGACCCTTCCATGTTTCGTCTCGACCTGTTCCGCGTCCGGTTCCGGTTCCGCCGACCCCTCGGGCCGTGACCGAGGGGTGGCGTCACATGGCGGTCACGGTTTCACCGAGGTACCGAGGTACCCGGTGCCTGGGCTCCAACTACGGTGCCTGAGAACGAAGAGCGAGCCACCAGGCCGGTGTGCTGCTGACGTTCGAGCGATAAGCGCTGTGACCGGGGATCGACCATATATGACATGGTATGACTGCCATGACATGGCGGGAAAACGGTACAGTCAAGCACATGATGCGAGACGTCGATTTAATGCCCACTTCCGGCTCATTTGCTGAAACTTTGACCAAAGACAGCCCAACAACAGACAAGTTCTTAGAACATTGACTTGGACACATATGAAGGTACACAAATCAAATTCATCTGCATCTTAGACTTATAGTAGAGACCCTCCATTTTATCAAGCTCCTTTGAGCCATGGGGTGTTCGTCCAGTCGCTGTGCCGAGGGTTTTTCCTCCGAGCATCAGCAGAATGCGCCCATGTGGGTCGTCAGTGTGGAGAAGGTCCTTGGCATGACCGGCAAGCTCCAACCGCATCAAGTATTGAAGTCTCAAGGGCTTTTAGTTGAGTGGAACCCCAAGATGTTCACGATCTTCGTCTCACACAAGTGGCTCGGCCACCAGTATCCGGACATGAAAGGAGAGCACTTTGAAGTGCTGAAGGGTTTTTTGCAAAACCTCATCGCAAGGAAGATCAAGGTCGAGAATGATGCCGTCTCACAATTCTTTGGAGGCAATCGCACTCTGACGAAAGCAGAGAATGACCAAATTGAAGGTGCTTACATTTGGCTGGACTACTTCTGTGTGCCTCAGATTGTAAACTATGAGGGTGAGCATGAGTTGGAAGCACTGCGAGCAGAACAACTTCAATATGTGCACAGCATTCCCGCCTACGTAGACCATTGCCAGATGTTCTTTGCTTTGGTGCCCAATGCCATGCACAATGATACTTTGTCAAACGTCAACTACTACACTTGGCTCGACAGTGGCTGGTGTCGAACAGAATTTTGGTGCAAACTTCTGTCTACACGATCCAACATTCCCATCATTGTGGTGACCGGAAAACAAGCGGCAAAGTTCTCTATGCCAATGTGGTTTCGACACCCAGTACATTCGGGCCAATTCTTGGTCGAGAGAGACCGTGAAGCATGCAGCCAGGTCATTCAGACAGCCTTGGACAAACATTTGTCAGAGCTGAGTCGGAGCAAGAACCAAATGAGCTACCGGCTGTACTTGGCACTCTATGAAGATATGGGAGGTCTCAAATGCAAGCAGCGCAGCATGCAAGACTTCCTGTGGGAGTTTTCCTTCTCCCAGCCCCTCCAGCAGTACAAGGGACTGGGACCAGCAGCTTGCGCTGCTCTCACAGGAGATGATCAGCTGCTGCGCAGCGTCGTCGCAGCCAAAGCCTCCCTGCAGACCCGCGCGCCAGCAATCATGGAGGTGATGAACATTCAAGGCTTTACTCCATTGCACTTTGCCGTGTGGTTCAGAAGTCAAGATCTACAAATCTTGGAGACATTGTTGGAGCTTCGTGCAGATGTGAATAGCTCCACTTTGAGTGCTATGCCACCCGTGCACCTATGCCGCACGGTGGGCGCCCTAGAGCTTCTAGTTCGGCATGGTGCAGGGGTGAATTTTCAGGGCAAGCAGCTCCCACAGTGGTGTGCCGTCCACAACATGGCTGCTTACAGTGTTCCCACTGAAGTACTTGCTCGCCTGCTGGAGCTGAAAGCCAATGTGAACGGTGGAAGAGGAGGCACCGCAACTCAATCCCCTTTGCACAGCATTGCCTATGCAGGGAGTTCCAACAATGACCTGAGGTCCGCACAGCTGTTGCTCGACAACAAGGCTGACATTAATCAAGTCCTACGGCCAGAGGGCATGATGAGGAACATTGAGTTGATGAGCAGGGCCTACCGCCAGTGTTGCAGAGAGCCATCCCTAGTTCTCAGAGTTTTGACTGACTTGAGCACCACCGCTTTGGGTTGGTCTGTCATGTTTGACAATGAGGAGTTCATGGTCTTTCTGCTCCGCGCTCGAGCAGACCCGGAGATCAAGAACAACCGTGGCCTTCGACCACTGGACTTCGCCAAGTCCGAACGATTGCGACGCATTCTCCGAGACCCAGCTCCACACATCTATCTTCTGGAGCACTATTCCGAGTCGATCAGCAACTTCCTTTGATCCTTCTTATGAGCTCATGATATCAATTGGCCACCAGAAGCATGGCCTCTGGTTTTTGGTCCTTTTATTTCCATCTGGCCTTTGGCCGCTCCTCGACACCAGCCGCTTCTGAGAACATCCGTTGGAGTGCGACTGGTTCCGTCGGACTGACAGGGCTAGACATGTTTTTCCATTATTTTGCACAGTTTTGCGCAGTTGGCTGGTTTGAGCCACTGTGCTTTGTCTGGCTGTTCTCCCGATCCAAAATCTCCACCGTCTCACCGCGAGGCCGCAAAGGAGAGAAACAGAGCTGGGCGGGCTAGGGAAACAGAGCAAGCGTGGTCAGCATTTATGGTCAGCACTTGGTGCCACTTGGTGCTCATTCTGCCACTTGGACACGCATGGCATGAGAGTCTCCAGGTGCATCTCCGTTTGTCTTCAAAGCGGTTCGATCTGGGTCGGTCAGCGTTTGCCCGATGAACGCCTAGGTGACGCCACACGTGGTGATGCCGCTGAGCTTGACAAAGTCAGCGACTTTTCAGGCAGATTCACCGACCAGGACTAGGTGGTTTCGAGGTCGGATCTGGTGGTCTTTGGTGGATCATGGCAGATTTGTTGAGTTTGGCATTTGAAAGAGTTTGGAAAAGAGGAAGGTGTTCATGAGCTCAGCTGCGGGGGTCGCTGTGGTTTGGAGTAGTTCTTGTTCTGCTTGGACTTTAATATTTTTGGATTAGTTGCAGTGACCCTGAATACTTCTGACAATTGCTGCCAGGTTTTTTCTCAGTTTTGGTTGAGGTACATGTCCAGGCTGGGAGCCCAAAATATCAAAACCCTTCCAATCCTCTCCAGCCCCATCAGGGTCTGGTGGCACACACCGTGGCACGAATTCTGTGGCTACGCTTGGACTTGAGGCAGATCGGCAACTCGTTGGTGTTGATTCCTGGCACTATCCGTGATGTTTCTTCATTGATTCATGAATTGAGAAGAAACAGCTAGAAATAGTTCATGTTAAACCTCAAGATGATCCCTTGTGGTGTTCGGAGCAAACGCCGCACAAATCCAGACTCACTGATCCTTCAGCACCAGGCCAATAGCTTCGATGCGAAAGCCGAAGAGGCGGCATGTCATGTTTCCGCAGAATGCAGTTGTTGCAGAGTCACGCCCACTCTTCACACTTCAGAGGCTTGTGAGACAAGTACAGTAGAAGGATTGTGGACGATGAGTCTTTTGCCGATTGCCCATACTTTACACTGGGCCCTTTGTGCTTGTCTCTTGGTCTACGACCCCATGTCGTTCTTGGAGCTTTCCGTTTTCGGATCAGGCAGAAGTCCAACATCTGCGCCATGAGTACCCGCCCCAGATGACTTGTCTCCTCCGAAAAATATCACTGCGTGTGATGTGTTTCTTTCGGTCGGATCTGTGCGCAATGTGTGCAAGGCAACTTCATTTCATGTGTTTCTCTTCAGTAACTCTTGAAACAAAAGGTGAAGCTCAAACAGACCTGCGATTTGAAGTTCGTGTGCATTATTCTCATGCCCCTGTGAA